GTCCTATAAGGGTTACTATAAGAGTATTATGGGGGGTGAGGCATATAGCTCTAATTACGTAGTAGGCTGTATGAAAAGTATACCGATCTTAAGGAACCCTGAGAAATCGTATTGCAAATTCTTCGGGCTTCTAGGCAGTAAAGAGTCATGACTTTGGACAGTTCGGGAGATCTTGCTCCAAGCCCAATGCGGCCCTAAATCAGGGCCGCCTCCCGACCTCGCCAACGATGCGAGACGAGGCGGGTTCGGGTTTAGTGTTCGCACTCCTTGGCTATCAGGCAGTTCATTGTGGGTTTAACGTTCAATGCATGCTGGTTAGCATATCGTGCCAATGACTACACAATACATGCATTCGGAAAGGCGCATACCGCTATCCGTGGGTGCAGTTGGCAGTATTCCTAGTCGCGGCCTGGCTGTCGAAATCGGCCATGATAGTGTCGAAGCTGCTCTTGGTAGAGCTAGTTTTGATGTTTTGTAGCACACCCTTCTTCTGGCTGCCTGGGTGGAATTGCAAGTATCTGACCGGTATCTTGTATCTGGACCGACGCGTGTAGAAATAGTATGTGTCGTAGCAATCTTGCTGTGTTTGTGCTCTTGCCTTCTTGATGTGCTCTTTTCAATATTCACAAGTCGGCGTCTTTGTTCCAGTAGAAGCAGCAAGTGGATTGTAGCCTTGCGCGATTGCATCCGCCGTGCTGACTTTTACCAAAGGGTCCTGTGTACTGTTATGGGGAATGCTCCCCTACATCATAATAGTATTTCCTAACATAGAAACCTTACATTCTACTTTCTAGGATTCTAGGTACATAGGACCCTTTGGGTTTTGCGACAGGTACATTCGACGCCAGTTGTACCGCAATTGCAAGATTCTCAGAGAGAGGGCACGCAAGCTGCTGGCCCGCTCTAAGGAGAGTAAGGTCTGTCTAGTGGTGATCCAGTATACCCCGAGCCATAAACCCGACAGTTTCAATAACCCGCACCCTTGTAGATTCCGGCCGTAATGGTGTTTCAGCAACTTTGACAGGAGCAATGCACCTGTCATGCGCAGAAACTGGGCCGGGAACGGGTTGGAAAGAAGAATGATCTCTTGGCCAGGCCGTAGATGCCGTTGCCCGAAACTCTCAGTTTGACAGCTAAGCTACGCAGGATTCCCATACTCAGACAGACTCAGACTTGCTGAGTGTCCTTCTCGGCAAGACCCCGACTCTCAGCGCTCATGTCTACTGAGAACCCATGGGGCGTTTTGTTCTGAAGTAGGACCTAGGCTCTATACTTATAGAGCTGCTGTGCGAAGTAGAAAGAAGAAACGAAGCGCTAGGGTGCAAGGATTCAAGGCCAAGGGGAACACACGACACAAGCTTCATGTATTTTTCGGTGTTGAGTTGAGTGCCGGGGAGGGGGAGAGTTGAGGGTTCAGTATTCCAGTCCCAGGCCCAGTAGTAGCTAGTTACTGCTGGCTGGCCTTCGGCAACCGAAGCCAGGTTAGCAATCCGGGGGGCTCAGAAAATCAAGAGGTACCTCTTTGAGGTTTTGTTGAGGATCCTACGATTGGGAGTTCTACATGGTGGTGCCGGGCTATTTTCTGAAACCCCCATATCATGTCACAGAGTCGTTCTGGATTCGGGTGCGTTGTTCTGGATTGGTAGACTGGGGGACCTCGGGTTGCAAGGTTTGGGACTTAGGGTTTAGGGTTTGGCACAAACGAAGATGCTTTGCCGTTGCTCGCACACCCAGCGGCAGGCTAGCAATGCTCTCAGGTTGCGGTCCTTAACCTTGAAATTAGGGCTTATAGGGCTTAGGGTTTAAAATCCTCAAGCAGACCCTGGAACACACCCGATGCGGCCAAAAACCCGGGGCGGCACCATGGGTTGCGATGTAGCACGGCGTTTCTGACACGTCGTGGCTGAATGAAGCGACACAGACGTCACAGATGAAAAGGGACACGACTGCTGCAAGCCTCCCTGAATGGGTTTTCCAGCCTGAGACAAGGGGTGTAGTGCATGCTCTGTTTCGCGCGGCATTTGGCCCTATACTCAATCAGAAACTTCTATTCTGATATGGCGCCAGGCGCAGAAGATGCAACAAGGCCCATCCAGCGTTTCCCGAGATACAGGGCCTTTTCCCTTAGGCTGATGTCGGAGCCAGATTGGTGTTACAGGTTGCCAAGACTTTGCCGAGCATTCGCAAGCGTAAGAGAATGTTAGCCCCTGTACCCGGAGCCGCACAACTTTGAGATTAGGGTGCCGGAGTCCTTTCCCATGCCTTACATTGAAAGACATGGCATTCGCATGCTCTGCATGCACAGCTGACAGCACCCATAGCTTACAGCCACTTGTTTCCGCTACTTACAAAAGCGCACTGTTTTCTCCAGGCTTCCACGTCCTGCATTCATACCGTTTTATGAAGCTGCACTGTCACATGAGGCCTTTATCGCTTCAGGTAAGAGTTCGCGGCCATCCACAAGAATCAGCAAGATCAGCAAACATGATTTTCGATCGTCTCAGCAATCATGGCTCGTGTCGTGGTCGGGAGGTCGCAACTCAGAATCACGATATGTTTTTCTTTTCGAAAATAGGGGACCCTTATGTAGTACCCCAAATAGTAGGATCCTTTTTATAAGGACCCCAATGTAAGGTACTCTTTGTTTTCGGAAACTCCCATATCTTGCTACGACTACCAGAAGCTGGAGGGCTCGATTTCCTAGCATGCTTCCGGCTCATGCATTTGGCCCGAGATTTCCTGCCGCTTTCTTAAACCCTTAGCGTTTAGGGTTAGGCTGAGGGATCAGGGTGTCGGGGGGACCCTGGATTGTAGTACTTTTCTCTTGCTGCCTTGCAATCTTACCATCGGTTCGCAACGAGTAGATCGGGTGTTTAGTTATGTAGATGCTACAATCAGAACAAGTTGGTCAAATTCAAGATTGTCGAACCTGCATTTAGGGTTTAGGGTTTATTCAGGCGATTGCACAAGTCCTGATGCAAAAAGGGTTTTGGGTTAAGCCCTCAATCCTAAAAGCCCTATGCGTGACGGACAAAAGGCCCCAGGCCCTATCACCCTAAACCCTGAAAGCTCAAAGGCCCTCATCATCAACCCCTAAGCTGTAAACCCCAAAGGCTCTAAGCCGCTAAACCCTAAATGCCCTAAAGCCATGAAATGCACCGGAATGGCTCCGGCTCCATCTGTCGAAGTTGATGACATCAAGGGCCCTTTGGCCTACGGGTAGCCTCACCTCAACGACTCCTTCCCCTAAACCCCTAACCCCTAAACCCCTACACCCTAAACCCCTGAACCCCTAAACCCTACACCCCTGAGCCCTAAACCTCAAGCCTTTTTATGCATCCCCTGAACCCTTAAACCCAAAACCCCTAAACTCTAAGCCCTAAACCGCTAAACCCTGAGCAACTAAATCCTTAAACCCCGAGCTGTGCAGCTTTGCCATGACACAGTCGCGAGCATAGCATAATATGTAAATATCCACCATCCATAAATATATACATACTAAATAAATAAATATAAATAAATATATATATATATATATATATGTATACATAACAGAATAGAATGTGAACATATCTAGGTTAAATAGTAAAAACTGTAGATCTGAGAGTATGATGTATGAAATCTGCCTGGGCTGTAGAAGTTATAGCCCAGGATGTCGGTTCAGTCTCGGGGTTTGGGCCAGGAGCTGCTCAAATGGGCTCCGAGTAGCTCTGTACCTATAGTCTCCGTTGTAGTTCCTTTTTGGGGATACCTTGCAGAATCCTCATTATGTATTTGGTTGAACCAAAAAAGGAACTACAATGGAGGCTATAGGTAAGTTCTGAGGGAAGAGGGCAGAGTAGATCTCCACGAACCTGGGAGCTGCCACCCATGAGCACGGTTCAGGGTTTAGGGTTTAGGGTTTAGGGGTTTAGGGTTCAGGGGTTAAGGGTGTAGTGTTTACGGGGGTTTCCGATGATTATCTTGACCTCGGCATGGGTAGCAGAGCAGATGTTGCGAGGATCCTTTGCGCCGTTTGCAGTATTCAACCAGCAGATGTGGCAGCTGAGGCGTCTCGCTTTCCGTGGCATTGAGTGGCTTGGGGCAGCACTGGAGGCACTCGCAGACCAAGGGGCACACGGTGGCGACAGCCACATGTTCGCAGCTGTGAAATACGGCCGCAAAACACCACAATTAGAAAATTTCAGCGACAAGATCACGCCGATGATAGGAACAATGCAAAACAGCATCAATAGCAGCACCAATACCAACATTAATGGTGTTTCAAAATATGAAAACCAAGAAGCACAACGGCGTTAAAACTGTTACTACTAGTTTACTAGTGATAAGGTCTCCAGACTGTGATATTTATATATACAAGAGAAAAATAGAAGTTTATGCCAGGCATACTCGGTCGTGCATGCGAAAAAATAAATTCAGCTGCACCACACTATCGCCGTCACTACCGCAGATCATGAACATGAGCAGCATTCAGCTCGTGGCCATGCCTGGTAGCATCGCGTTCGTGACCACATCACCACCCACGATCAGCAGGGCACCAGCGGAAACAGATTATCAGCGGTCTTGAAGTCCAGGTCTGTGTAAAGCCTGCCAAAACCCATAAACCGTAAGCCCTACGATTGAGGATTGCTATGACAATTTCTTGAGCCACGCCTGGGCGAGCTCTGGATGGCTGCTCCTGGGCTTTTCCGGTGCTTAAAGGGAGGGTCAGGTACTTTAAGGTTTAGGGCAATTTGGGGTTTAGGGTTTAGGGTTGAATGCATCGAAAGATTTCAGGGTGAGCAACCTTTCGGTTGTTCAGCCGCGGCATGACTGATTTGAAAGTCCTAAGTTTAGCCGTGACAAGAAAGTGTGTAATTTACCGTGATGTAGGCTAAGAGGATGCTCATTAAGTCTACAGCTTTGGTGAGTCTTCACGACGACACCGGAAGCTTGCGACCAATTTTGGGCAAGGGTAATAGTTATAAGCGGATATATGCATCCCATCTTGTGGTTTGATGCATTGTATCCCCACTGAGTCCGGGGATGTTCGGGGCCACTGCTTCAATGTGCTGAAATTGTCAGGAAATATCTGTCCCTGCTCATCCTCTTCAACGCACAAGCCGCCATGGTGTCTACGATCCTGCTTTCCGTTCTGATTGGTGTGCTTCGCATGATGGCCATCCTGCCGAACATGGTGTGGACACAACTTCCATGCTATGCATTCTACTTTGTGATGCTCGCCCCCTGACAGCAAGTGCATGACGCCTCAGAAATGAGGGCCGGGCAGCAACTCCTGCTTCCGCAGGGATGGGATTGGGTGAGCAGGATTGATCCGGTTCGTTCGACTCTTAATTGCATGTCTGGTGCATCACCTGCTGTTGTTATATTTGCGTTAAGGCCTGCTGGAAGGGTCATGGTAAGGCCGAAGTTATTCTGCATAGCACGGCCTGCATGTGCTGGTGACCTGCTGGTGTTGATCCAGCTGTTGGAAGGGAGTTCTGCCCCAGGTTTTTTGGCAGCCGATACGTGGTACTTTCACATCGTCTCGCATCGTCTTCCTTGACCGTCTCTGCATCCCGCAAGATGACGAGGACCAGGGTGGGATCATTACAGTGGGTCTGCAAGCATGCTGTAGGGTTCGATATGGGTTGTTAGCATGGCTCTTGAAAAGGTGTTAGGCTTTGGGGGTTCAGGGTTCAGGGTTTGCAGCCCAGGTGTAACAGGAAACAAGGGTTTGGCGGCTTGGACCTTGCACTGAGCTGTAGACCAGTCTTGAAGAGATGCTACTCTCATGTTTGTCCCTTATTGTCTGATGATTGAGCTTCCGTTGCTGTGGGCATTTGTTTTTGTCTACCAATCCTTCTCCGCGGCTTTGGAGTGGGATGCTTGATCAACGGAGTGCATTTCAGGAGAAGAAAGCCGCAGGTATCCGCGGCCTTGCTGGTTACCTGGACCGAGCACGCACCTTGACCGTCTTATGGTCGAATGACTACTTTGGGCGGCTCTGGCGTCTTGGCTGCCGTCAACAAGCCCGCAGCAGCTAGACCCCCATAGGCCCCATAGTAGTTCCTTTTTTGGGGGTTCATATTTAGAATCCTATAAGGTAATCCCAAAAAGGAACGACTATGGGGCCTATGGGTAAACATGGGGCATAGGCTGGGGAACAGGTTACGGGAGAGGTTTCAGTTTGCGCGATTCTCGTGCGATCCGAGAAGCACCGCAACCAGTGCGATACCACTAGCATACCAGTTGGAAGTATAAGGATTAATTACCAAGATGCCGTTCCGAGTGCCTCCGTTCCCATCGGAGTGGCAAGCTATTATCTACTTTCGTGCAGAGTGGACCTATGACCGGAAGCCTACCGTAATCCGATGCTCGCAGGTACCCAGCTGTATGAAGAAGTGAAAGGTCTCGTTGTCCGTCTTGGTATGTGCGCTCGATACTGCGAGTATGGAGTGGGCACTATAACTATTATGGCTGATACATGTTGGTACAACATCGCATTTCGGCTCCTGTAGGCTTTGTTTATAATTACGGATGCTGAGCTTGCTGGATAAGATCAAAGCGAAACAGGGATAACAACAGATAAGGTGTGTGTTTGAGCTGGCCACTTTTCTCCGGAATCGTTGCAACCGGACGATCCAGCTCCTGCCAGTGGAGATGTCCATGCTCGCCTTTTTGATAGGTCTCTGCTACAGCATGGTAAATCTGGCCCACCGGGTGATCAACGAGGCACGCAACATCACCGGGCCCGAATATGACGGCAGAATCGAGCCAGCCCCCTGGCTGGCAACCCTGAGAGCCACTGGTTGGGTGGTAGTGATGGGTGGGCCTGTGGTCCCGTTCTACATATATCTCGGCCTGAACTTCATGATGAAACTTCGCCTCCTACCCACGCAGCTGCACACTTTCGATGCTCGAAAGGCTAGCTGCTACTGCTGCACGGTGCCTGGGGCCTCTTTAGACTTGAAGTTTCGAGTCCTTCTGTGGAGTAGCGATGTGCAACAGACTGAGGTGGATCATACGGACCCTCGGAACAACGCTCCCATCTTCTGCGACAGACAGTTGATCTTGGAAAAGCTGACGGAGTGGTATGGAGATGAAGACTGCGAAGACACCGATACGGGGATCGATAGAGCGATTGAGCAGTTCAACCACCTGGTGCGCAAGGAGCTCGCCGACGTTTTCCTTGAGATGATGTCGGGCCGCGACGTTCTGTGGCAATATGTCTACCTGTTGATCGGCATGAGTCTTGTCCGGCAAAACCCGCAAACGTTTGGGTCCCGAATATGGGCAGTGCGGAGCCCCATGCTTAAGCTTAAGCCCAGTGTACCGCATTCAAAGGGGGACAACGCAGGGTCCTTTCGGTGAAGGCTGTCAGTTTTCAGAAGTTCCCGAAGAGGCGTCTGGCGATCAGTGGGTAGTGTCTTAGGGTCACAAGTATTGTTGAGGATACAAAAGAGTCTTGCATCAAAAGATGCCACCCTAAACCCTAAACCCTGGTCGTCAGGGTTCAGGACTGGGCATGCCGAGGCATGTCCTTTGCTTCTCTGCCGCATTGGAGACCGAGGAACTGTCCGGTTGTCACCTTCCTCCTGGGCGACATAGGCTTTCCGCCGGACTCGATGGAAGGTCGGAGCGCAGCCCTGGCTTCTTCGTCTCTTCTTTTCGGACAGTTTTCGACAAGAAAGGCTTTAGTTTCGAATGTTGAGGTTGTTAGCACCGAGCGTGGCCGCACCTGGTTTCCGGCTTTCAGGCAACATCTTCAAACAGCTAGCTTTGCTAAAGCAGGCTCAGGCCCAGCAATTCCCGGGGAAGCCTACATCCACAAACTCTGAAGGCAGAGGCAGAGTTGCTAGGCGGAGTTAAAGCCCAAACCATCTCTTCTCCCCCCCGTCTCGTCTAGTGTTCGGCGCACAGGCCGGGCCCTGCATTCCTGGAGAGCCAGGGAATGCACCGGCTTTTGCCACATCTTCCTGCAAATCTTCGCAGCGGTGCAGCTGTTTTCGAAGCCTGCATGAAGCTTAGAACCGAAACGCCATCGGTATTCGCCCCGAATGGCCTGGAACATGCTTGTGGTTACGTTTCCCTTGTGGCAACACGCAGTCAGACATATATAACTTATATTCTGACGGCTAGCAGGCGGGATCACAAGTTTCTCGGGTGTTCATGGTGACGATGACGAACATCCCCTTTCTCGTCATGGTGTAGCCAATGCCATTGTTATGTACCATCACTCAGACCTCCGGTGTGTTTGAAGTTGTAGTCCTTCTACGACTCCTCGTCATCGCCCCTACCCTCGCCATCACCGTCAGCACCACCACCATCATCATCATCATCACTATCGTCGTTATCGTCCCCATCGCCATCTCCACCACCGACATCACGATCATCAGAACATCAGCAGGAGCAAGTTCGCCATCACCATGTCAAGCCGTCCATCGTGGTCCGTTTCATCACCAACAAAACATCATTATCGTGGGCATCGTCACCGTCGCTACCATGAGACTCTGTTTCGTCATCATACTCGTCACCATCCTCATCATCACAGCCCGCCGCCACCATCAGCATTCGAAATACCATTGTCACTTATCTAATCCTAGTTGCTGTCGCTGTCGCCCTTAACATCATGGCACTGAGCTTACAATACCGGACGCTGCTCGACGGTGCGGGTTCGGTGTTAAGTCCTGTTTGGGGTCTAGCCTGGTGTTTGTGGGTTTGCCGCGGATCACCAAGGACAGTGTGGACTCTTGGGGCGATATATCTCAAAGATCATCATCGGTTCATGGCTGCTTTGATGTTGACCCCCATTCTGATCGTCTTGGCGGTGGGGCTATTCTACTATCCGTTCCGACTGGGTTTGGAGCTCTCGGTTGACGGAAACCTGCTGCCGCCGCTGACAGCTGTGTCTCGTCAAGTCCAGTTGAAAGTATCTGGATCGCGCATTCCTCTCTTGGTGCCTTCAAGAAACATACCTAAAGCCACAGCAGCTTGTACATTCGACTTGGTCATATAGGCGACACCTACCACGAGAAGAAAGTTAGCGAATTCCCCAAGGTCGTGCTCGAGGCCCTTGTCCTTGCCGCCTTGAGCTACACGCGCCGATGCTGGGCTTCTATTCAGTCTATTCATGACCTTCCTCCGCCTCAGGTTTGAGCTCTTGATGCCAGCGTTTTGCAACTTTCCCACCGTTTCTAGGGTTTTTGTTGTGCGCCGGGCTGATGGCTGATGCTAGCATGGCCTTCAGTGCAGGTCATGATCTCGGAACTTTTAAGGCGCCGGGCTTCCCCTGAGGTTTAGGGTTTAGGGTTTAGGGTTTCGAACTGCTTTGGCCCCCGGTGCGACAACAAACCTGGCAAAACAGATTGAACACGGATACTTCGCAGGCCTCATTCAACCCCGGCTCTGTAAGAACCCTTATAGTAGGCCTTGCTCTGGCCTGTATCTCCGCCCTGAAATTCAGCCTGTTTTCGTTGTGAACATCTGTTTATTTCGACGAAAGGGCCCTTCGACCCATGACGCCCTCCTTCGCAAAGCTTGCCTCAACATCCGCAACTTGCTCATAGGTTAAAAACTGGAGGGTGGGGTCCCAAGCAGGCATCGTATCGACCGTTTTGTTTCGATGAGAAGGCGCCTCAGCCACGAACGTCCACCCTCGCAAACTCGCCGTATCTTGCGCTTGTACCTGTGGTTCGGCATAGCCTTGGCCCGCTTTGGTTCGGCTTGCTGAGGGTAGTGTCTGGGGGTCGTATGGTGGGCACGTATGTCACTGCGCTCTGACCAGCATGCGACTTGTCGAGCACACCCTAATAACCCTCGCGACTACCGCAAGCCTCTCAATCTTACAGCTATCCCAAACAAAGCCCGCCCATACCATCGAGGCTTCAATGGCTTCGGCTTTATAGGGTTTATAGGATGCCGGTTTCCATGTGCCGGACTGAGTGCTCTTCGAGCCGGTAGACCAGCCCTCACCGTACAACGATTCAATCCCCAACCTGAACCCGAGAAATCTTGAGACTACCCATAGGCCCCATAGTAGTTCCCTTTTGGGGTTCATATTTAGAATCCTATAAGGTAATCCCAAAAAGGAACTATTATGGGGCCTATGGGTAACTCAAGCCATAACCCTTGAACTTCAGCCGTAAGGATTGGCCACGGCATCGTTCACCCGAACAGCCCTGGAGAGCGCGGAGCAGCTACAGAACTGGCAGGCAGCCAAGTCGCTCAGCCTGAGGTCATCAGAGTCGGGACAGGACTCCATGGGATGGTAGAGGTTTAGGGTTTAGGGTTTAGGGTTTAACTACCAGTCGAGATCTGACAAGGCCGTTGCAAAAAAAAGGGTTTAACTACCAGGCGTTCTTGCTTGCAAGCCTGCAGCAAAAGGGTTTAGGGCTTAGGGTTTACATGGGGTTTTGGGCTTTAGGGGTTTTAAAGGGTTGGTGATTAGGGTTTTGGGGTTCAAGAGGGTTGAAGTTTAGGGTTTGGGGTTCTAGGGGTTTAAAAGGGTTGGTGGAAGTCATGTTTGCTGCCAGCTTCTAGGCGGAGTTGGTTATCATTGGGTGTCAAACCCTAAAACCTAAAACCTAAACCCTAAACCTAGCGGCTGTGGTGGTGATCGGTCGCAGTTGGAGGAGCGAGGCTTAGGCATGGGGCATTGTTGTTGATGGTTTTGATTTTTGATGTTGTCGGTTTACGGTTTAGGCTTTACCTCCGTGGTTGTTTGTCGTTACTTTGCCTATGTGTATGTGCTTTGTTGTTCACGCCTTTGTCTGATTTCCTTTATGGATTGACTTATGTTGTTGATCGGTTTGGTAGTGCGGCAGTGCAGTGCATGGTATTGACCACTTGGGTCTTATCAAAAAAACCAAGAAAGAGACGTCCTGACAGGATGTTCCGGCGGACGTAGTGAGCCATGACAGTTTCTTCAGCATATGAGTGGAGGCTACATGTGGTCACTGAATGTGCTTCGTCAGGCGGATTCCACCTGATTCGATTGTTGCAAAAGGTTACAACCCTAAACCCTAAACCCTAAACCCTAACCCCTAAACCCCTAACCCCTAAACCCCTAACCCCCTAAACCCTGAACCCTTAAACCCCTAAACCGTACACGTTTTGCAGGAAAGATGAGCTCGGAGCTAGGGGCAGGACACCGCCTTAGGGCCCTCAGGTCAAACGGTAGGCTGGCGCTGCTAGGTAATGTGGGGGCCTTAATACCTACACTCTTTTCGGAGGTTCCTTAATATAATATGGTTATAGTATAATATACCGCACAAAAGCCCTTTTTTCGCATTATCATGCAGAACATGGGACAAGGCTCCATCTCCGAGCTATTAATTTTCAAGTTTCCTGCAGAGAGATATCGCGCTTTCATGTTCCATACACGGGAACCCGTAAACCCTTGAGAATGGAACTAAGGACCCAGAAGTCTCAAACTAGAACATGCCACAGGATCCTATGATAAGTGTTTCTTTAAGGGTTCCCGACATAAGACTTTCTTGAAGATTCATCCGCCCTCCTTGTCACTCTCCCGACAGGGTCCCGATAGGAACCCATTGCACGTCGGCTTTTTCGGTCAACACGGAAAACGATGCGGACAATGCTAAGACTGGCCAATCTGAGTCTAGATAAGCACACAAGTTGCAGAATTACAGAAGTAAACGTCTTTTCGCTGCACTAATGCAAATTACACTGGCATGGCATTAGACTATGTGTGTATATATATATATACACATAAGTATGTATGTAAGATGTACATACATCTGTAGTCTGCACACACGAGCGTGTGTGCGTGCGTGTGTGTTTGTGTGTGTGTATGCGTGTGCAACTCTTTGATGTATGCACCTACGTATTTATTTATGCTTGTATGCGTGTTTGAACTCGTGTGTATATGCATGAACGGATGCATTCACGCACACATGCACGTATGTATGCATGTGTGCATGCATGATGCATGTATAAATGTATGTTTGTACCTACGTACCTATCTATGTGATCACGTTTGTGCGCATTTGTTTTATGTCTCGTATGTATGCTTATATGGAACTATACTGATTTGGTGAATGGGGGTATACAGTGTGTATATATATTTACATATATATATATATATATACAAGTAGGGAGTGTGTATATTTGAAACTTAGATATGCGTATGTATGTATGTATGTATGTATGTATGTATGTACGTATGTATGTATGTATGTATGTAATTATGCATATATTATGTAATTATGCATGCATGCATGGTGTCTTGTTTGTTTGTTTGTGACTCTGTGTATACATGTTTGTATGCAGGTATGCATGTATGTAAGCATGCATGCATGCATGCATGCATGTATGTATGTATGTATGTATGTATGTATGTACATACATTTGTGCCAGGGTATGTACGAACATTTTAAACCCAAACTATGCGCATCTATCTATGGGTGCATGTATATATATATATATGAGATGAGG